GCCGCGGTTCTGGGGTGGTACTTGGCCGGGGTACCCAGTAGCAAAATCTCGGTGCTGAAACTTGCTTGGTTGCCGAGTTGAAATACCCGGACAGACGAACACACCACGATACACACACAAACATACACACACACACACACATACATACACACACAGACAGGGTCGTCCCAATATGCGTTTTTGCAATTTGCGTATAGGCAAAAATAAAACTGGTGTAATGAAAGAACGAGGATAAAGCAGAAATGCTAAATAGTGATGCTGTTCCTGCCTGAATGAGCCAATTTACCGGATGATTTCATCCCGGAAACCGAAAGCTTTTGTGAAATTAAGTTTTAAATAACCAAGGAGTTCACTCATGCGATTCAGGGAGACAGGGATTAACGGCTGTTAACAAATGTGAAAAAAGTAAGGCATATGGGTGTATTTGGATAGTTTTACAAAAACATTTAATGAAACCTTGGCGATTTAGCCTGAGAAATTTCAATAAGTTATCTTATATGGAGTATCTATAACGGGATTTGGACCGGTACGGATCATAAGGATGGAAAACTCGGGTTTTGGGAATACAGCGGGTTCAAATGTTCTTATGACCCCTTCAGCTATCTGACTTACGTGAACTCGCAGAATCTTCAGGGTCCTCTCAAAAAAACGCTCATTTTAGCGCTAAAACGTTCTTTAATGCACATTTTTCCCTTCAGAACTAATGAATACGCCGTTTTGAAGAACAGCAATTTATTTTGATAGCCAAAATTTTGGCAGATTTTACGCACCCCTATGAATAATGATTTTAAGATGGTTTCCTTTCCCATAGACTTTTTAGCACAACACACTAAAATTGATTTGTTTGTTAATATCAAGACTTTTTGGACAATTGGTGTGGACATCTCGTTCGCGATATGAGTGGAATATTATAAGGTAAGTTGTGCCAGGCCTATAAATGCTTTTATAGTCAGCAGTTTATCAATACAACAATGATTTTTTTGCAATAAAAACCTTACCTTCAGCTGCTCAACATTGAGAGGCTCAGGATGTGAAGGAGCGCCGTTTCCAGGATGCGCGGTTTCTGCTGGAGCAGCT